TTAAACAACTTTTAAGAAATCCATTATATTATATCTCAAACAATATTTATGCATAATCACAGTTATACTGTAACCAACAGCAGAGACCACAAACATAAAGTTAAAATGATGATTGTCATAATATAACCAAAACGATTAGATCATATGTTTAGTTTGTTCATCTGGCAGTTTTAACTCAGATAAAACAGCTAAACAAAGTCTAAAGTTAATAATATAAGGGTCAAGAGCCCAACTAAAGCGAACACTGATCACCATAACGGTGGCTTACAATTTGTGATTTTCTCCTTCAGTGATTCTGCTTTAGGTGTCTTCAATAATGCTCAATCATCACTCAATTAATCACTTAATCATCTCATTAACTTTACCACTCTTGAGTGTTAATTTAACACTCATATCTGCATCGTCCATCTGAAAGCCACTGCTTCATTATATTCGACTCATCAATCAGTTTATAGCATCTGATTGAATTTTCTTTTGCTGTTCTCAACATAACAATCAGATCCAACTGAGCAGAGAGAAGCTAATGTTAAAAAGTCAAGAGCCCAACTAAAGCAAACACTGATCACTATAATGGTGGCATCAAACCAAACTATTATTTTCAATAAATAATCAACATCTTAACCTCAGTTAATTTTCAATAAGAACTTTTGTAGACGTCTACCAGAAATAAAGTAAATCTGGTTAGTAATAAGTGAAGCTGGTAATGCTGTTTGTGGAGTTGTGTAGTCAGATCTTAAGAGATTTAATGTACTGTATCTTCAGTTGATTTCATTTAAGGCTGCAAGTAATTCTTGTGTTTCTCTTGTCTTCAGTGATTCTGCTTATTAAAATCAGGTGTTCATCAATAATGCTCAATCATTATTCAATCAATTCATTATTTCATTAACTCCCACACTGATTCAGTGTTATATTTAACAGCCTGTAGTGTGCACACTGAGCAGTGTTCATTTCATCTGGGCAAACCCATCTGGGGCCTACATGGAAACCGTGGACAAAACGGTCTGGGTCCCAGTTAGATAGCCCAGGTCAAACCAATGTGGGCCCCACATGACTGTGTTGGCTGGGATGATCCTCAACTTACTGTTATGGAACCAATTTAAGCGCGGATGTTTAACTCGGCTCATTCAAGTCAGGTTTTGGACTTTAATCCCCGCTTTTCTAAGCGGCTTTTATGAAACAGCCCCCAGCTGAGATGCCCACATAGCAAACAGATCCGGAACGGATCTGCCGCGGAGGTAAGAACAAGGTCCGGAACGGAGTCCACTTGCACAGCGCAACGGATCCGGAACAGATCCGGATTGCGGATCCAGACTAGATCCGCGGCAGACCCTATCCGGATCCGATCTGGACCCGTTCATTTCGGTCTGAAAACCTTTCAGATCACTCATTCAAAACTAGTAATCTGGCCAAAACTACAAAAATATTTCAAATCTATTGGTGGGCCAACATTAGATAGACTGCCCACTAAACAACATGATGTCCAAAAGATGTCTTTTCAACGTCTGTGTCACAAAAGTCGGATGCTGAAAAGATGTCCACTGAGGAGCCAGAATTAAAGTTTTTATGACATGTTTCTTTGACGTGTTCTGCACGTTCGATATAGACCTTCATCGAACCTTCGTACACGTTTAAAAACTAGGTCAAATGTTGGCCATTGAGTTTAAAACTCATGTTTAAATCAATTTCATTTCCTTACATTGTTTAGATGAGGTTTAGATGTTGTTTCATTTTAAGAAACCATTGTGGTGATGAGTGTTTGCTTTAGTTGGGCTCTTGGTCCCAATTCTTCTTACTTTAACTTTACTTTGGTTGTAGTAACTGTGTGGTTGTAAAACACCATTGTTGTTGCACAGAAAGCCAAGAAGAAGTGAGATGCTGACATCAGCTTGTTGCTGCATCATAGGTGATGTGCTAACGCAGATGTTTTACATGTTTTAAATTTATAAAATGCATAAATGATCTTCATCATTTTATTTGTTATTAAATAAACTTACATTTCGCCGATTCGCCCTCTCATTTAAGTCCTGGGTTCACCCGTACTACTGCGTGCTCATGTATCAGCACAGGATCAGAAGGCCGAAAGAAAGTTCTGTTCAGAGACGGTGCTATCACGCATGCGCAGTATCTCCAGCTCATCGGTTCTCCGTATCGAACGTGTCCGAAAGAAACAGTTCTTGGTTCTGTACTAGTGATTCAAGAACTGCAACAACCAGTTCTCGACTCGAGAACCATAGCATAGGCCTGTGTGTGCTGAGCTGAAACCTGAATATACAGTCGACAAAACTAAAAAATCGATGCATGTCTGTCTCCAATATAGCCTTCTGTAGCCTATACAATGTATATATATCATGTTTATAATGTGTTAACATAACGAATTAAACTAATTCGTTATGTTAACACATTATAAACATTTACTAAGCAGTGCACCAAACCTTGGCAAGAGTTTACATCAATGATTTATATTGTTACTTAGAAATTACATGAGCTAGCTGTTCCTGAAAATATTATTTAATAATAAATGTTTAGTAGTTTGACAGTTTTAGAATCCAATCATTATTTCCAATCGTTAAAATAATACAGTGATACAGTAATGTGATAAACATGTTTCCAAAATGTTTTATTTTGTTACACTTACTGATGTTCAACTAAAGACATGGAAACGTAGGCTACATTTCGTCCCTCAGAAAAAAATGCACGCATGCTCAGCTCATCAACTCATCAGTTCTCAGTATGTCAAACGTGTCCGAAAGAAACAGTTCTCGGTTCTGTACTGGTTATCCGACCGCTGTACCTGTATGTTCGGTAGTACACGCATGCGCAGTATCAGCTGCTCGTGCTCATCACTTCTCCCAGCACCAATATATGTCTCCGTTCAGTGAAGTTTTTGAGTTACTGAATAAAATGTACTAATGGATATTGGTTTATTTCGATTCGGAGGGACTGTCAGGCATGTCTGAAAGTGAGTAACTTTAGTAACTTGTGGTTTAGCGCTGAAGCAAGACGCGAACTGTTTCGAACGATTCAGTCCTATTTAGTGTACTGGTTCAACCGGTTCACTAAAAAGAACCGGTTCAAAAGAACGATTCGTTCACGAACCGGCCATCACTATCATAAACAAGGAGCCGATGACAGCCGATTTTACTTTTTCTTGGCTTTCTATGCAACAACAACAGTGTTATACAAACACACAGTTACAACAACCAAAGAGAGATTAAAGTAAGAAGAATTGGGACCAAGAGCCCAACTAAATCAAACACTCATCACCACAATGGTTTCTTAAAATGAAACATATCAACATCTAAACCTCATCTAAACAATGTAAGGAAATGACATTGATATAAACATGAGTTTTAAACACGATGGCCACATTTGACCTAGTTTTTAAACTTGTACGAAGGTTCGATGAACGCCTACATCGGACGTGCAGAACACATCAAAAAAACACGTCATAAAAACTTTAATTCTGGCTCCTCAGTGGACGTCTTTTCAGCATCCGACTTTTGTGACACAGACGTTGAAAAGACATCTTTTGGACATCATGTTGTTTAGTGGGCAGTCTATCTAATGTTGGCCCACCAATAGATTTGAAATATTTTTGTAGTTTTGGCCAGATTATTAGTTTTGAATGAGTGATCTGAAAGGTTTTCAGACCGAAATGAACGGGTCCAGATCAGATCCGGATAGGGTCTGCCGCGGATCTAGTCTGGATCCGCAATCCAGATCTGTTCCGGATCCGTTGCGCTGTGCAACTGGAACCAAAACAGGACTTCAATGCCAAATACCACTCAGAACATACTCCTTTCTTCAATATTGCCAAAAGCAACACAGAACATTCACCAACAACACAGAGCTCACAATCAAAGTTGCTGATCTGTGCCCAATTCACGTTCAGAAAGGAGCATCATGACTCATCATTGTGGGTTGGGAGACAAACACTTCAAAACACAATTCCAAGCAAAGAACTATAGAATTGATCCCTGAAAATATAGTCTTAACGGTTCATGGAAACTCAATCGGCATTCCATTCTGCTGCACCTCTCCTCTAAAAGGGTTTTACCTATTTGAATTTTGTGGGCTTTAAAGTTTACTTGACAATGACATACATCGGAGCCAAAAGCAGAAAGGACTTCCACAATCTCTTTGAAGCCTACTGTTAAGATATGTGGAATACACACAACAATGCATAATGTCATACTTTTTTGTAAGCATAGCTACCCGTGTCATGCTTTGAAGTACATATTTGTTGAAGCTAAATGTAGAAAATCTTTGAAAAGAAAAGTTATTTACATTAAAAAGAAGATGTTCCAAGTCTGTTTCTGTCTTCTTACTCTTCAGCCGGTTTCTCTCTTGGCCAACGTGTGCTTCAGCACCTCATAAGAAAGGATTCTGTACTTAGAACCATCTATCCTTGAGTGTAGTAGAGTTCCCAATTGTACTGTGACCTCGATTGGGCCATCAATGCCTACAGCAGTAGGTGGTTCCAAGTTTAGAAAGTGATTTGGTGGAAATGCTCATGATTGATGTCTTTTCCTAGCTGGGGGCTGCTCCATTTGTCCTGGGTTCCTTTTTCCAGTATTGGATTGGCAAAACTCATTCCAGAAAAGCTTCTAAAACAATCCCCTTTCTCAAAAGGCACAAATGTCACACAACGCTCAGATTATACCCCTTTCTTCAACATCGACAAAAGCTACACAGAAACTTCATCAACGACACAGAGTTGACGTCCAACGAAAAAGTCTCGCACTTACCCACAAATGATAACATAGGCATTTCAGACACTTGACGTTGATTGCGTTCTTGGAAAACTTACGATGCCTGACGTCAAGCTAAGCACATATCCAAAGCACTATTTACCATAAAACCCTTTTTTTGCAACTGCTTTTTATAGAACACACATTCATGAATCATTACAAATGGTTCTGCCTTTCAACACAATTTTTTGCATGGGACCTACAAATCCAAAAACAAAGAAAAACCAAAACGGGACTTCAATGCCAAGTACCACTCAGAACATACTCCTTTCTTCAATATTGCTCAATCGCAACACAGCACGTTCATCAATGACACAGAGCTCACAATCAAAGTTGCTGATCTGTGCCCAATTCACGCTCTGAAAGGAGCATCATGACTCATCATCGTGGGTTGGGAGACAAACACTTTTGAAACACATTTCCAAGCAAAGAACTATAGAAATGATCCCTGAAAATATAGTCTTAACGGTTCATGGAAACTCAATCGGCATTCCATTCTGTTGCACCTCTCCTCTAAAAGGGTTTTGCCTATTTGAATTTTGTGGGCTTTAAAGTTTACTTGACAATGACATACATCGGAGCCAAAAGCAGAAAGGACTTCCACAATCTCTTTGAAGCCTACTGTTAAGATATGTGGAATACACACAACAATGAATAATGTCATACTTTTTTGTAAGCATAGCTACCCGTGTCATGCTTTGAAGTACATATTTGTTGAAGCTAAATGTAGAAAATCTTTGAAAAGAAAAGTTATGTACATTAAAAAGAAGATGTTCCAAGTCTGTTTCTGTCTTCTTACTCTTCAGCCGGTTTCTCTATTGGCCAACGTGTGCTTCAGCACCTCATAAGAAAGGATTCTGTACTTAGAACCATCTATCCTTGAGTGTAGTAGAGTTCCCAATTGTACTGTGACCTCGATTGGGCCATCAATGCCTACAGCAGTAGGTGGTTCCAAGTTTAGAAAGTGATTTGGTGGAAATGCTCATGATTGATGTCTTTTCCTAGCTGGGAGCTGCTCCATTTGTCCTGGGTTCCTTTTTCCAGTATTGGATTGGCAAAACTCATTCCAGAAAAGCTTCTAAAACAATCCCCTTTCTCAAAAGGCACAAATGTCACACAACGCTCAGATTATACCCCTTTCTTCAACATCGACAAAAGCTACACAGAAACTTCATCAACGACACAGATAGCCGTTTCTCAATATGCGTACTTGTCTGTACTTGTGTTCTTGTGGACTTGTGAAACGTCATCAGTCGATGCCGAAGTACTGTTCCAATTCAAAGTTCACATCTAGCCAAGTCCACTTCAAATCCCCGGATGTGTTCTTGATCCGCCCCGTTTACCGAGGATGCATCGAGAGGTGACTTGTGTGGACTTGAGATAGCCAGATAACCCAGAATGCACCTCGCACCAACCAGCAAGCGTCAATAGGAGAGGAGAAAATCCGCGAAATATCAAAATACTACTGTTATTGAGTCATGATTTTTAAGAGTGTTTCAGGCGAGAATGTGGTTGTTTAAATCTCAAATCTGTAGTTTATTTATAAAGATAGCGCCTATCTGAAAAATGCATCTGACGTTTTCGGAGTTCTGACATCCAAACCTTCAGCGGACACTCAGCGAGATCAACCCCGACTGGAACAGCTTATCCTCGGCTAGTGCTTCTGACGTTTGCCGCCGGCTCTGATCTCTCTAGTCTAGTGGATAAACCTTGACATATAATTTGTCTTGTGTCTAAGTCTATCTTTGGTCTCATTAAACTATAGTTTGTTCCATGGCGCAAAAAAAAAAATAGTTTTTGAGGTTTCATGGCTATTTAACTTCAACAACTTTTTTTTTATATTATCTTCACTATATGAACAATAAAATAAAATGTCATAACCCTGTCTCTGTTTGATAAATGTCAATAAAAATCAATGTTTCATATTTTTAAAATGAAAACAAAAAGATCATGTTCATTTTGTAATAAATGTATGCATTGAAGAGAATCACGTTGCCTGAACCACATGGCCATTAGGCTAATAGGCTATGTTGTTTTTTGTTCATGAAAAGAGTCAGAGGAGTGTTTTATAACATATTTTGTTTTATTGTTGACGAAAAGATGCAGAGTTGTAGCAAATTTCGTTTTATTGTTGCCTAAAATATAGAGTAGAGCGTGCTGAGTGACGCGATCAAGTACGCTCTGTTCCATTTGCAGAAGAACCGGATTTGCGTCCTCGCATCCTCGGGAGTTCGCTCTCTGGAGTCGAACTTGCAAGTCTGAACTACCAAGGACGCAAGTCCGAAGTCTGCATACTTGGTATTGAGAAACGGCTAGAGTTGACGTCCAACGAAAAAGTCCCGCACTTACCCACAAATGATAAAGTAGGCAATTCAGACACTTGACGTTGATTGCATTCTTGGAAAACTTACGATGCCTGACATCCAGCTAAGCACATATCCAGAGCACATTTTATCATAAAACCCATTTTTTGCAACTGCTTTTTATACAACACACATTCATGCATCATTACAAACGGTTCTGCCTTTCAACAAAATTTTTTGCATGGGACCTACAGATGAAAAAAAAAAGAAAAACCAAAACAGGACTTCAATGCCAAATACCACTCAGAATATGCTCCTTTCTTCAATATTGCCAAAAGCAACACAGAACGTTCATCAACGACACAGAGTTCACAATCAAAGTTGCTGATCTGAGCCCAATTCACGCTCAGAAAGGAGCATCATGACTCATCATCGTGGGTTGGGAGACAAACACTTTTGAAACACATTTCCAAGCAAAGAACTATAGAAATGATCCCTGAAAATATAGTCTTAACGGTTTATGGAAACTCAATCGGCATTCCATTCTGCTGCACCTCTCCTCTAAAAGGGTTTTGCCTATTTGAATTTTGTGGGCTTTAAAGGTTACTTGACAATGACATACATCGGAGCCAAAAGCAGAAAGGACTTCCACAATCTCTTTGAAGCCTACTGTTAAGATATGTGGAATACACACAACAATGAATAATGTCATACTTTTTTGTAAGCATAGCTACCCGTGTCATGCTTTGAAGTACATATTTGTTGAAGCTAAATGTAGAAAATCTTTGAAAAGAAAAGTTATGTACATTAAAAAGAAGATGTTCCAAGTCTGTTTCTGTCTTCTTACTCTTCAGCCGGTTTCTCTCTTGGCCAACGTGTGCTTCAGCACCTCATAAGAAAGGATTCTGTACTTAGAACCATCTATCCTTGAGTGTAGTAGAGTTCCCAATTGTACTGTGACCTCGATTGGGCCATCAATGCCTACAGCAGTAGGTGGTTCCAAGTTTAGAAAGTGATTTGGTGGAAATGCTCATGATTGATGTCTTTTCCTAGCTGGGAGCTGCTCCATTTGTCCTGGGTTCCTTTTTCCAGTATTGGATTGGCAAAACTCATTCCAGAAAAGCTTCTAAAACAATCCCCTTTCTCAAAAGGCACAAATGTCACACAACGCTCAGATTATACCCCTTTCTTCAACATCGACAAAAGCTACACAGAAACTTCATCAACGACACAGATAGCCGTTTCTCAATATGCGTACTTGTCTGTACTTGTGTTCTTGTGGACTTGTGAAACGTCATCAGTCGATGCCGAAGTACTGTTCCAATTCAAAGTTCACATCTAGCCAAGTCCACTTCAAATCCCCGGATGTGTTCTTGATCCGCCCCGTTTACCGAGGATGCATCGAGAGGTGACTTGTGTGGACTTGAGATAGCCAGATAACCCAGAATGCACCTCGCACCAACCAGCAAGCGTCAATAGGAGAGGAGAAAATCCGCGAAATATCAAAATACTACTGTTATTGAGTCATGCTTTTTAAGAGTGTTTCAGGCGAGAATGTGGTTGTTTAAATCTCAAATCTGTAGTTTATTTATAAGATAGCGCCTATCTGAAAAATGCATCTGACGTTTTCGGAGTTCTGACATCCAAGCCTTCAGCGGACACTCAGCGAGATCAACCCCGACTGGAACAGCTTATCCTCGGCTAGTGCTTCTGACGTTTGCCGCCGGCTCTGATCTCTCTAGTCTAGTGGATAAACCTTGACATATAATTTGTCTTGTGTCTAAGTCTATCTTTGGTCTCATTAAACTATAGTTTGTTCCATGGCGCAAAAAAAAAATAGTTTTTGAGGTTTCATGGCTATTTAACTTCAACAACTTTTTTTTTATATTATCTTCACTATATGAACAATAAAATAAAATGTCATAACCCTGTCTCTGTTTGATAAATGTCAATAAAAATCAATGTTTCATATTTTTAAAATGAAAACAAAAAGATCATGTTCATTTTGTAATAAATGTATGCATTGAAGAGAATCACGTTGCCTGAACCACATGGCCATTAGGCTAATAGGCTATGTTGTTTTTTGTTCATGAAAAGAGTCAGAGGAGTGTTTTATAACATATTTCGTTTTATTGTTGACGAAAAGATGCAGAGTTGTAGCAAATTTCGTTTTATTGTTGCCTAAAATATAGAGTAGAGCGTGCTGAGTGACGCGATCAAGTACGCTCTGTTCCATTTGCAGAAGAACCGGATTTGCGTCCTCGCATCCTCGGGAGTTCGCTCTCTGGAGTTCGCTCTCTGGAGTCGAACTTGCAAGTCTGAACTACCAAGGACGCAAGTCCGAAGTCTGCATACTTGGTATTGAGAAACGGCTAGAGTTGACGTCCAACGAAAAAGTCCCGCACTTACCCACAAATGATAAAGTAGGCAATTCAGACACTTGACGTTGATTGCATTCTTGGAAAACTTACGATGCCTGACATCAAGCTAAGCACATATCCAGAGCACATTTTACCATAAAACCCATTTTTTGCAACTGCTTTTTATACAACACACATTCATGCATCATTACAAACGGTTCTGCCTTTCAACAAAATTTTTTGCATGGGACCTACAGATGAAAAAAAAAAGAAAAACCAAAACGCGACTTCAATGCCAAATACCACTTAGAATATGCTCCTTTCTTCAATATTGCCAAAAGCAACACAGAACGTTCATCAACGACACAGAGTTCACAATCAAAGTTGCTGATCTGAGCCCAATTCACGCTCAGAAAGGAGCATCATGACTCATCATCGTGGGTTGGGAGACAAACACTTTTGAAACACATTTCCAAGCAAAGAACTATAGAAATGATCCCTGAAAATATAGTCTTAACGGTTCATGGAAACTCAATCGGCATTCCATTCTGCTGCACCTCTCCTCTAAAAGGGTTTTGCCTATTTGAATTTTGTGGGCTTTAAAGTTTACTTGACAATGACATACATCGGAGCCAAAAGCAGAAAGGACTTCCACAATCTCTTTGAAGCCTACTGTTAAGATATGTGGAATACACACAACAATGAATAATGTCATACTTTTTTGTAAGCATAGCTACCCGTGTCATGCTTTGAAGTACATATTTGTTGAAGCTAAATGTAGAAAATCTTTGAAAAGAAAAG